AGAGCTAATGGTGAAATTAGAGGAATTTTGTGGATACTCTGTTCATTTGAAGTGTCAATTACCAAACGGAGATCTCGAGACACTGATCTCCGTCAAATCAGAAGAGGATATGACGAACATCGTGGAGGAATACGATCGTCTTCATGGAGCCAAGATCCGAGCAATTTTGTCGCCTCCTAACCACATGTCGCCACGATCTAGCGTCGGCGATACGTCACCGAAATCGCCTTTCTCCGTCGTGGCTTCTCCTTCTCCGCCGAAATCGCCAGCGTACAGAATGGTTTTACAGCCTCGGTTCTGTTTAGCTCCGACGGAGAATCTTCCAAGTAGAATATTCCGTTTGAGATCGGAGGAATATTCTCGTTGCTGTAACTGCCGTGTGCACAACAGAGACTCCAAACTCATCTGGCAATAACGGTGACGGAGAAACAACGGAAATGCCTTGGAATAATAAAAAGTAGAATTTGGAGAAAATAGTTTTGAAAAATCAAAAGAAAATACTTTTGGGGTCGATGACGTGTTGGTTGCGAAGAGAGAAGAGTTAAAAAAATATATTAAAATTTGAGGTCGGAAAAGAAGACTGGAAATTATATATTTTTTGTTCCGGCCGTTTATTAGACGTTATCTTTGCCGTTAAGATATGTGGAATACGTACAACGTCAGTTTTTTTTCAATACGTGGTACGATGCGACCGTTCCAGAAGTGATACGTGTCGAACGCCGACGGGGTCCACGTGTGTATGTTGTGGTTACTCAGTCGTGTATACTTTTTAGACTCTTTGAGGTTTTTTGTTTTTGTTTCCTTAGCAGAGGTTTTGCTCTCCTTTCATTTCCTTTTTGTTGTTTTATACTGTTACAACTCATTCACTTTTGTTTGTTTATAAGTTGTTTATATTTTGTAAATAAATTTGGTATTTGTCTTGTTCCATCCATGTCTAGAGGTGTCAATTGGGCCTGCCCATGACCAATTGGGCCTGTCCACACGGACAAATGGTTTTATGGGCTATATATGGGTTAGCCCATATGGTCAGCGGACGAAGATGGTGGATAAAATTGGACATAATACAATACTATGCGGACATGGGCCGTCCAACTTCGCCCATATGATCAGTAACAAGTATAAAAATGTGTACCTTGCATATTCTAGAGAATTAGTTTACAAGTAAGCAAAGTAAAGTATATAGTTTAAAGAATGACATTGACAAAAGCATATAGTTTAACATGTGAAACCATATAATAGACATTGACAAAAGCATATAGTTTAAGAGATCATAGATGTTCAAGAGTAAAGTAAAAACGGTTCTTCCATGATTTTCTTCTTATCTTCAAGAGCAAACTTGTTNTTGATNTTGTTCTTTCTCATCCACAACAACAAAATNCAATTCGTCATCTAATAAGATTTAAAACCATATCAACAATCAAACTAGTTAGAATAGAT